GGGCCAGCCGCCAGGCCCACCCCACTAGGGCAGGCGCAGGTAGGACGGGGTGGAGTAGTTGAAGAGCAGGAAGTCCATCTTATAGAGGTCCAAGAGGCGCCTCTGGTAGAAAGGGCTGATGTCGCCGAAGAGGCGGGCCGCCTGGGCGCGCGCGGCGGCGGCCTGGGCCTCCGGGGCAGGTGCGGGGAAGGGGAGCCCCCCGGCGCCCACCAGGCCCAGCACGAAAGCGGCATCCTCTGCCAGCGTCTCGAACTTGCCCACCACGTCGTAGCGCAGGCGGCACGGGTGGCACAGCGCGTGGGCGCGCTGCCAGGGCGCGTCGCCGGGCTGCCCGCGCCGCGCGCGCGGCTCCAGCAGGGAGGCCAGGAACCCGGCGGCGAAGCGCACGCGGGGCCCGCGGGCCCGTCCCTCGGAGGCGGCGCCGGGACGCGGGCGATGCGCGGTCGGCCGGGCCGCGGACCGTGCCCACTTGTTGTGGTAGGCGGCCGCCAGGCGCTCGAAGGGCTCGCGCACGAACAGGAAGGCCAGGTAGGCGTTCAGTCGCCGGTTCACCTCGGCGGGGCTGAAGTCGGCCAGCGAGGGCAGGCGGCGCGGGGCGGCGCCTCCCAGCGACCCCAGCCCCAGCAGGACGCGCTGCCAGGCGGTGCCCGCCGCCTGGGGCACGGAGCAGTAGAGCAGGCCGCGGGCGTCGTCCACCAGCACGTGCCGCAGGTCCTGGGGCTGCAGCAGCCGTTGGCGCCGCGTGTGCCGCTTGCAGGCGCTGCGCAGCAGGTCTCGCCGCTGCCGGTGCAGCTCGACGAGTGGGGACCGAGGGCTCTGCTGGCGACAGTGGAGGGTCAGGGCTTGGATGCCAATCTTTCGAAGGGCCGATGATGGATCCTAGCCGTGACCTAGGGTGTCCGGAGACTAAGCTTGGGGGGGTGGGGGGGTGGAGGCGAGAAGCCGGGAGCTGTCACCTAGGGGTGGAGGCTAGATAATGGGTTTTGGGGAAAACAGAATTCCCTTTGACCTCACTGAGACCTGCTGAAAGGTGTGTTTGATCACAGGCGCGAGATCCCCTGCAAGGTAATCTTAGGAGGTCCTGACCCCGAATAAGGAAGGACAGGCCATACTTGCTGACCAGTCACTGAAAGGCAGATGGTGTAAGAAGAGCTATGACTTTAATACCCGAGGAAGCAAACAAACAAGCCAATCAATTGCCCTGTCCAGACTCAGACTCCCAACGACCCTATAACACAGCCGTCATCTTGACCAGTCTGGACTCCAATTCCTTACTTCGGGGTCTTTCCCGATGACCAGAACTCTGAAATCCAGCCCCGCTTCGCAGTCACTCGCAGGCTTTATGCTTCGATCAAGAATAATATTAGCTGACTCCATGATTATAAATGGACGTGCTCCACTGGAACTCAGTTGCTCACCTCACTCCCAGCAGATGCTAATTAAAGAATTTGGGGCAGGAAGTTTACCCCATCTGGACCTCTGCTTCCTCAGTGAGACAATAATTGCTATTCTGTCTAGGTGTCAGGCTAACCTTGCTTGTTTAGCATTTTATCCCTTTATGAATTAGGGACTGCTGGAAGGAAAGCTAGCCTGCCCCAGCCATGCAAAGAGCCACCCACAGGGACCCACCTCCAAGACTAACCTTCTATGTCTTCCCTACTCCCCTCACCCCATGTTTTGTTTTGTCTAAGAGCTCTGGTAAGAAAGTGTTGTCGTTTCTGAAAGGCTCGTTCAGAGTCTTCAAGATATGCTAAAGAAAATCACAAGTGCCGGCAAAGATGGGAAGAAACAGGCAATCTCATGCACTGCAGTTGGGAATATAAAATGATGCAATCACTAATGGAAAGCATTTGGCAGCTTTAGAGTTACCATATGTGGTAGTTACATAATTTGGTGTCAACTTGAGACTATTAAGAGTGAAGGGGTGGAGTTTAGCCTGTCAATCTGGTCTCAGCTTGATGACCTCATTTGGAGGCCTGAGAGATAAATAGCTCGCTGGAGGCCAGATACTCTCTCTCTCTCTCTCAATCTCTCTCTCTCTCAATCTCTCCTTCATATTCCTGATAACAAGACACATGGAGCTACGCTGATGGCACTGGAGCCCTGGAGATGGAGAAGCCACATGGAGACCCACGCCAGCACTGAGATGCTTCCACCACTACTGGATCCACAAGACTTTTCACCCACTGTCTTGTGATCTTCCTGCATTCCGTGTCATTGCATGGCTCTGTGAGTCTAAAGAGGAATTTATGGACTAGTATCAACATATGGGGTAATATCAGACTTATGGACTTGATCTGGACTGGGCTGGGATGTTTACTTAATGTACAATTACTCTTTTATATAAAGCTCTTTCCTATACACATATGTGTCTATGAATTTGTTTCTCTAGTCACCCCTAACACCATGTGACCCAGAAACTCTTGTCCTGTGTATATGCCACAGAGCAATGAAAAGAAACATCCTCCCAAATGACACACACGTGTTCATGGCTCAGAGTAGCCCACCAGGTGATTTATGTGTGTGTGCATTCCAGTACTGATGCACGCAACATGTATGTGAGTGTATACAGATGAATCTTTGAATCATTATGCTAAGTGAATGAGGTCAGATACACAGACACATGTTGCCTGACTCCATTTAGATGAAATGTGCAGAGAAGGCAACTTTGTGGAGACAGAAAGTAGACTCGCAGATTCTAGGAGCTGAGAGAGAACAAGGGAATCAGGAATGACTGCAGGGGGTGCTGAAAGTATTTTTAAATTAGATAGTGGTGATGATTGCACAACCTTATAAATAAACTAAAACCACTGAATTGTACACTTTGAAAGAGTAAATGCTATGGTGTTGAATTCTAGCTCAGCTTTTAAAGGTTTTCAGAATGTTTCCATTCCAGAGGAATCCAAAGCAGCATCTGAAGTGGCTTGACACTAGGCCTCCACGTGTGTGTGTGTGTGTGTGTGTGTGTGTGTGCATGCATGCACACGTATGATACCTTTCAAGGTATCCCATGGTATCCGAGATACATTCTTGTAGTTTTCAGTTCTGTTGAGTGGTTTCCAACTCAAGGTGACCCCGTGTGTATGGACTAGAACTGCTCCACCGGGCTTTAAAACATCAGTAGATACAACTTTATTGTGAATTGGGGGGAGGTTTACAGAGCAACAAGTCATACACATTTTGTTTCATGTGTTTGTTGCCGTCTCACAGAGCAGCATCACTTACCTTACTGTCTCCCTGTATTTCCTGTCTCCTTCCTCCTACCTTCCAAACTCCTCTGAACTTTGTCCTTTTGCAAATACTGCCTTTTGGATCTCAAATGGCTGGTCGTTCTTACATCATCTTCTTGCTAGTGAATACCCTCTAAGTGTGACATGTCTCTCTGTGGTTTGGCTGGAAATTGAACCCAAGTGGTGAGTTCATTTCCAGACCTGAAGGGTAACTCAGGGTCACAGTC